TTTCACTGGAATTGAAAATTCAAGAACACAAAAATGAGTAAGAATATAGAAAAATTGAATAAGCCTGAGTTCATGGATATCCCCAAACTAGAGACTACACATTCTTTTCCAGTTCACCTTAAACTTTTAACAAAACATTTGTCACCATGTTCTAGGCCACAAAACAAGTCTCAAGAAACAGAAAAAGAATTGGTATCATACAGTCCATGTTCTTGAGCTGCAATAGAATAAAATCACAAATCAATGACCAAAGTAATACTGTATTCCATATGTTTGGAAATTTTATATACTTATCTATTTGCAGTATAGGGATTAAACCAAGGGCCTTGTGCATGCTAAGCCAGAGCTCTGCCACTGAGCTACACCTCCAACCCTGGAAATTTAAGTTTTAAAATGCACTTCTAGCCATGGGTGGTAGCACATGCCTGTAATCCCAGTAACTGGGGAGGCTAAGGCAGGAAGATGGCAAATTCAAAGCCAGTCTCACCACCTTACTGAGACCCTATCTCAAAATCAAAAATAGGGGCTGGTGTTATAGCTCAGTGGTAGAGTGCTTGCCTAACATGGGTGAGGCACTGGTTTTGATCCTCAGCACCACATATAAATAAAAAATATATTTTTAAAAAAAATAAAGAGGGTTAGGGATCTAAGTCAGTGGTAAAGCACCCCAGGTTCAAAAGAAAGAAAGAGAGAGAGAGAGAAAGAAAGAAAGAAAATGAAGAGATAATGTGCAGAATAGAAGAGTATATTTTGAAAGTATATATCTGATAAGGGGTTAATATTCAAAATGTTTAAGGAACTCGTGGCGCTACTCTGGCCAACCACAACCCTGAAATTACTTACAGTGTCATCAGTACTGCTCTGTACAAACACTTCTCATGGCAACACGTTACAGAAGAAAAGACCCTCCAGATACAGTCAGAATATCTGGAATCCAGTCCATGTGTCCACTGGCTTGCAGCATGACCTTGAACAAGTCCCTCTCACATGAATAATGAGAGGGAGGACATGAGTACTGAGGTTCTCTCCAATTCTGACACCTAGAGTTCTTCTTTAGTAAAAACAGCTTCAATTTTAAAGTTTAAATTTGTTATAAAGGTAATACGCACTGTGTGTTAAAAATACATTTTACCAATGGCACAGAACTATAAGAAATAACAAAGCCAGCCTCAAGTCTATCCCCAGAGGAGGCTGCTCTGCATGTGTCCCTATGTTCACATCTAATTTTATATGATAGAAATTCATTCATTGTTCTGGGGCTTGCTTTATTTGTGTCAGTTCCAGAAACCTACCTTACTATTCATATTCATAGTACGAATGGTTTAGAATTTATCTATTTCAGTAGTGGGATTTGAGGGTGTTAAATTTGGGTCTGTTACACAAGTCACAAACATCATTTCAAATGTACCTCTGTGTACATGTATATGTATAAATATACCTGGAGGGGAAAGCACTTTGAAGTAGAACTGCTCATTCAAAGAGTTTATTAAAAGTGCCCTCCCCAAAGACTAGAAGCATATTACCATCTACAGAAATGGAACTGTACAGGAACAGCTTGGTACAACATCTAAACCAAGCTTCCTGCCTGCCACAGCACCAGCATACATGCTCACTGCATGCCAGTACTGACCAGATCACTAACTCAAAGGAAAACATTCTGATACCACATAACTTCATAAAGTCATCCTCTCAAAGGACAGTGGCCCCATTGTCCCCTAGGGGGTCTAGGAGGTCATAACTATTTTCATAATCACCCTCAAATGTTTGTTGCCCTTTTTACTGGATCAGCATTTACACTGTGATACAAAAGGTGAGTAAACTTGCCAGCCCTTGGCATGCAGCAAGGCCCAAGATATGATGAGACTCCTCATCACTACACAATGGCAGTCCAGAAAGAATGCCTGTTTCACCTAAGAAAGTCCTAGATGAAGCTGGTAGGCAGAATTCTCCGATAGCCACAAAGATTCCTACACTCTATATAATTTTCATTCCTTGAGTGTGGGAAGGACCCAGGCCCAGGCTGGATGGCACTGTCATGATGAAGTTTTAACATGGAAGAGGTCAATAGATTTTGCAGTGTGACTTTAGATTACTCAAATGGGAGAATACTCTAGGTAATTTGGACATAATCAGGTGAGCTCTTGAAAAGTGGGCTTAGGCCTTCTCTGAATGATACCACAGACAGCAGAATCTCTCACTCTTGTGCTGATCTTGAAGAAATATGCAACTGTGAGTTTCACAGCTTCATGGAAATGAATTCTGTTAACAATTATGAATCTTTAAACATGTTACCTTACACAAGGAAAGGCCCTTTGCAGATGTGATTAATCTAAGGCCCTTGACACAGGGAGATTATCTGGTCAGGGCCAATGTAATCATAAGGGCCTCTGCAAGGAGAGACAGGAAGGAGAGGCAGAGGAGATGTGATAATGGAAGCAGGAATGGGACTCAGAAAGCTTGACTATGCTACTCAACTGGCCTTGAAGATGGAGGAAGTAGCCACAAGCCAAAGAATACTCGTGGTTGTACACATAGGAAAAGGGAAGGAAGCAGATTCTCCCCTAGAGTCTCAAAAGAAATGTAGCTTTGCTAGCTCCTTTAGCATAACCCATTTTGAATTAATAATCTCAATTATTATAAGATAAATTTGAATTGTTTAAAAAGCCGGGTTTATGGTCATTGATTTATAGCAGAAATAGGAAATTGACATGACCTCAGACTTCAGATGACACCCTAGCCCCAGCTGACATCTGGATTGCACCTTTGCAAGGGGACACTAAGCAGAGGATCCAGCTAAATAGGTGCCACATTCCTGATCCTAGGCAAATGAGAATTAAGTGAATAGAAAATCATTTTAATTCACTAAACTTATGGTAATTGGAGCAGAAAACGTTTATTAGAATTCAACCTTGAATACACATCTTTTTAACATTCCATGTGATGAAATGAGAAGGTGCTTAGAGAACTTCTGTTGCACACCCAAGCATAATAGGTGACTCAAGAAAAGTAAACAATACCAATGAAATCAATACAAAAGAAAAAAAGGCTGGGGATGTGGCTCAGTGGTTGCGTGCTCCTGAGTTCAATCCCCGGTACCAAAAAGGAAAAAAAAAGGGATGGCATAGCCAAGAAATTAGAAAAAAGGAAAGGTATAACACATTGATAAGAGGATGAACACACCTGGAAGACATAATATTTTTAAATTTGGAAGCACTGAAACACTCAAAATACATGAATCAAAAAGTGGTAGAGGTAAAAGGAGAAATAAACAATGAAAAATAATGACAGAAAAATTAGGGGAATTTGCAAATATCACTACTGACTAAAATAAATAAAAATGATTATAAAAAGGGAATACTATTAACAAAAGTATGCCAATAAATTGGTAGCCTAAATGAAATGGACAAAATTTTGAAAGACACAAACTACTGAAAATAACTCAGGGAGAAATAGAAAGTCTGAATAGACAAGTAAACAGAACTAGGGGCTGGGGATATGGCTCAATGGTAGAGAGCTTGCCTAGCGTGCATTAGACCCTGGGTTCAATCATCAGCACCACAAAAAAAAAAAAAAAAAAAAATCAAGTAAATAAAACTAATTATCAAACTTTAATGAATAAAAGCCCAGGACCATATGGCTTCACTGGTGAATTATACAAAACATTTAAAGGACAAATAGCAATCTTTCTACAAGTCTTCCAGAAAACAGAAGATATACTTTCAAATTCATTCAACAAGACCAGCATGACTCTAATGCCAAAACCAGACAAAGACATCTTAAGAAAAACTGCAGACCTCTATTATGAATACAGATGCAAAAATCTACAAAAAATACCAGCACGTCAAATCCAACAAAAAAGAGTTATATTCCATTTAATTTTTTAAAGGATCAAAAGCAGTTCAATGAAGGAATAGTCTTTTAAATAATGGTGTTGGGAATAATTAGAAATTCATATGCAAGGGAAAAAAAACCCAGAAAAATCGATGGAACCTGGGAATCCTAGTTCTTAGACATGGTATCAAAAGCATAATCCAGGGCTGAGGTTGTGGCTCAGTGGTAGAGCACTTGCCTAGCATGTGTGAGGCACCGGGTTTGAATCTCAGCACCACATGTAAATAAATAAAACATAAAGGTCCATTGACAACTAACAAAATGATTTAAAAAAGTATTGTCCATAAAAGGAAAAGCTGATAAGCTGGACATCATCAAAATTTAAAATGTCTGCTCTACAAAAGTCCTTGTTAAAAGATTGAAAAGATAAGCTACAAAATAGGAAAAAAACATTTGCAAAACACTTCTGACTGAAGACTTGTGTCTAGAATACTTAAAGAGATCTCAAAACTCAACAGTAAGTAAAACAAAAAACTCCAATTTATGTTATTATGTATGGTTTTTAATGTCATTTACATGGATTGGTTAATAGTTTTTTTTTTTAGTTTAAGTTCTTAGATGATACATATTGATTCATAATGATCCATGTTAACGAAAGCTCTTAAGATCAATAATTAGGCTGGAGTTGTGGCTCAGTGGCAGAGCACTTGCCTAGCATGTGTGAAGCACTGGGTTTGACCCTTAGTGCTGCATAAAAATAAACAAATTAGAAAAAAGATATGCTATTCATCTACGACCACAAAAAAAAAAAAAAAAAAACAAAAAACAAAGATCGGGGCTGGGGTTATGGCTCAGTGGTAGAGAGCTTGCCTCACATGTGCAAGGCCTTGGGTTCAATCCTCAGCACCACATATAAATATATATATATATATATATATATATATATATATATATATATATAGAGAGAGAGAGAGAGAGAGAGAGAGAGAGAGAAACAAAGATCAATAATTTAGGAAATACTAAGACTAAAATGTTGGGGCATGATTGTATATTAGGGTTCTCTTGGTATTTGAAGTGTCCTAGTTTCACAAGAGGATCACTGGGACACAGGGCAGAATCCTGCATGGAGCTATGCCACAGGCCAGTGGTTCCAACCAGTTAGGACTTACCTCTTCCTCCTGCACTTGGTTTCCTATGGCCATCATCTCGATCACCCAAAGCATCAGACAAATCAAAATCACCTTTCCAAACATAAAGGAAACAAGCAAGTGATTAACAATGGGGCGCAAGACTCCAAAGAAAGCAAAACAACACCCATGGGTTCAACTGATCAGCACTAACAATGAGTTAAGAAAACAGAAACTGAAAATGAAATCTCTGTATACAGACACTGTTAATGAAAATACCCACAGGATGGAGCAAGTTCCTGCTTTCTGATTCTGCAGTATACTGATGTTAAAATTAATTTAGATTCTTACAGATGCTTTGCTTTGGCCAGCAGGTGGATCATTTTAATGGTATACTCGCTGATTGCAGGTATTAACCAAGATTCAAAACCAGATGTGCAAAGTCCATAAACAGGAAAATTAAAAGGGGGGACACAGCCAGGTGTGGTGGCGCACACCTGTAATCCCTGCGGCTTGGGAGGCCGACGCAGAAGGAGCAGGAGTTTACAGCCAGCCTCAGCAGTGAGGCCCTTGTGGCTCAGTGGTTGAGTACCTGGGTTCAATCCCTTGTACCAAAAAAAAAAAAAAAAAGCAAGACCACATGGTCACAAAATACCCCTTTGAATCTGGAAATGTGAAGACATGATGTTAACTCATGCAGTGACTCTCTTAGATCATCGCTGTCTCTTTGAAAGGAAAGTAGCTCTCCACTGAATGGAAGGTATCAGCATGTCTCCTGAAAGTACTGTAAAAAAGTTACCAATGGAGGCAGTGACTAAGTCTGTGATCCCCAAAGCCAAGCTTTTCTTTAAATCACTGAAGATGTCCAAATGGCAAAATGGTCCAACTAAAGAAAGGTTCAAACAATTACAGGAAAGAGTCATTACAGAAATACTGAGTTCCAAAATCCTTTCCTAAAAGGTAAGCCCATAAAATAAATCCCATTACAAAATGTTCTCTCTGCCTGAAAAAAAAAAAAAGTCTGATGGGCTTCATAAAGCCTAACCAATTACAAATACATTTTCTCTGATTTTAGAAAATTAAATGGTTGAATAAGGGAAAAAATACAAATGCATTTTTCTCTTTAAAATTTCCATGGCAGAACTTTTCATAAAACACACAAAAAGCACAATGATCAGCTAGGTATGCACTTTACTAAGTTAAACCCAATGTTTAGACAAAAGCTTTGGTTGGCTTTGCACACATGGGGAAAAATATACACTTAGCTTATTTGGGCAGTGCCCCAAGGGGGTACCACCAGGGCCCTAATTACTGCCCTCCTCAGAGCAGCCAGTTACCTGCAGGATATGCTGGAGCTCTGGTTGTTCCTGGCCTCCTGGTTGTAGTAGTGGTGAGGTGGTCCCATCTCTCTAGAAGGGGTAGAAAGGACATCAAGGAAAGCATATTTAGTTACCAAACACAGCAACTACTCCATGGCTTGCAGTAAGTAACCTTGCATTAGTCCCTGAGAGCACCAAACCTTTGTTCTACACTGTCAACCTGGCACTTTAACCATAGACAATACTGTTCAGGGACAAGCTGGGGTTATGTTCCTAGTGAAATATGGAAGTATTCCATAGATTGAAAGTAGTCAAGGGCTGAGGTTGTAGCTCAGTGGTAAAGCACTTGTCTTGCACTCATAGGGCCCTGGGTTTGATCCTCAGCACCACATAAAAATATAAAAATAAAGATATTGTGTCCATCTACAAGTAATATATATTTTTTTTTAAAGAAAATAGTCAAAACACATGAATGAAATATTTTATTAAGTATGCTTACCATTAGAAATATTAGGACTTTGGGCTCAAGCATATTCCTTTAAAATTATTTATATCATTCACAAGAATTACATGATGTGCATGAATTTTCCAATAATTTCTTTTCACAGAAATCAAAACTATGATGCATGTTTCCCTACTGTCAAAAGAAGAAGAGGAAAAGAAACAATCAGTGAGGTGAATAGAGAGCCTACAGAATGGCAGCAAATTTTTACCACATGCACACACATCAGATAGAGCACTAATCTCTAGAATATATAGAGCTCAAAAATCTGAACACCAAAAAAATAAATAAATAAATAACCCAATCAATAAATGGGCCAAGGAACTGAACAGGCACTTCTCAGAAGATGATATACAGTCAATAAATATATGAAAAAATGTTCAACATCTCTAGTAACTAGAGAAATGCAAATCAAAACTAGTCTAAGATTTCATTTCACTCCCGTCAGAATGGCAGCTATTAAGAATACAAACAATAATAAGTGTTGGTGAGGATGTGGAGAGAAAGGCACACTCATACATTGCTGGTGGGACTGCAAATTGGTACAACCAATCTGGAAAGCAGTATGGAGATTCCTTGGAATAGGACCACCATTTCACCCAGCTATCCCACTCCTCTGTTTATACCCAAAGAACTTAAAAACAGCATACTATAGTGACGCTCAATTCACAGTAGTTCAATTCACAATAGCTAAATTGTGGAATCAACCTAGATACCCCTCAGTATATGAATGGATAAAGAAACTGTGGTATACTATATACATAATGGAATATTACTCAGCATTAAAAGAGAATAAAATCATGGCATTTGCAGGTAAATGGATGCAGTTGGAGAAGATAATGCTAAGTGAAGTTAGCCGATCCCAAAAAACAAATTCTGAATGTTTTCTCTGATATGAGGATGCTGATCCATAGTGGGGTAGGGAAGGGGAGCATGGGAGGAATGGAGGAACTTTGGATAAGTCAATGGGGAGGGAGGGAGGAGAAGGGAGGGAGGAGAATGGTAGAATGAGATGGACATCATTACCCCAAGTACATGTATGAAGATATGAACCGAGTGACTCTGTGTATAACCAGAGACATGAAAAATTGTGCTCTATATGTATTCTATGAATTGAAATGCATTCTGCTGTCATATATAACAAATTAGAATAAATAAATGAATTTTAAAAAAGAAGTAGAGGAAATCAGTGCTCTATCTGATATGCATGTAGTAAAGATGTTCTCCTGGTCTGTGAACTCTCTTTTCACATTGTTTCCTTTGCTGAGACGAAGCTTTTTAGTTTGAATCCATCCCATTTATTGATTCTTGATTTTACTTTTTGTAGTTTAGAAGTCTTGTTAAGGAAGTCAGGACTTAATCCAACATGATGGAGATTTGGACCTACTTTTTCTTCTATTAGGCACAGGGTAGGGTCTCTGGTCTAACTCCCAGGTCCTTGATCTGCTTTGAGTTGAGTTTTGTGCATGGTGACAGATAGAGGTTTAATTTCATTTTGCTGCATATGGATTTCCAGTTTTGCCAGCACCATTTGTTAAAGAGGCTTTCTTTCCACCAATGTATGTTTTCAGCACCTTTGTATTATATGAGATAACTGTATTTGTGTGTGTTTGTCTCTGTGTCTTCCATTCTGTACCATTGGTCTACATGTCTAGTTTTATAGTGACACAACCATATCAATGTTTATAGCGGCTCAATTCACAATAGCTAAACTGTGGAAACAATCTAGATGCCTTTCAATCAAAGAATGGATAAAGAAACTGTGATATATATACACAATGAAATATTACTCAGCATTAAAAGAGAATAAAATTATGGTATTTGAGGGTAAATGGATGGAGTTGGAGAAGATCATGCTAAACAAAGTAAGCAAATCCTAAAAAAAACAAAAGCTGAATGTTCTCTCTGGTAAGTGGATGCTGATCCATAATGGGGGGGGGGTGCATGGGAAGAATGTAGAAACTTTGATTGGGCAATGGGGAGGGGGAGGGGAGGGGGCATGGGGGCAGGAAAGATGGTGGAATAAAATGGACATCAATACCCTAAGTACATGTATGACTGCACATATGGTGCAAATCTACATCATGTACAACAAGAGAAAGGAAAAGTTGTTCTCCATTTGTGTACAATGAATCAAAATGCATTCTGCTGTCATGTATAACTGATTAGAACAAAGAAAAGAAAAGGAAAGAAAGACGTAGAGGAAAAGAAGGCTTAAGTAATGTGAAAGGCAGACACAAAACAAGTTCAGCTTTGTATACAGCAAGTACTCGATGGGTATTATTTACTTAGAAAACAAACAACAAAAATAGAAATAAGTTGTGAGAAAAGAATGGAAAAGGATATATTGCACAAACAATGGTAAGAGAGCTAGTGTAGCTGTACTAATACCAGATAAAACAGATGTTAAAACCAAAAGTATTTTCAGAGTCAGATTGACATTTGTAGTGATTACAGGGTGAATTCAACAGGGAGATAAAATAATCTTAAATATATATGCACCTAAAACCATCCCAAAATGCATGAAGCAAAATACGATAATACTGAAAGGAAGACTAGATAATTTAACATTAACAGAGATTTCAATACACTCTTTTCAATTATAGAAGAAACAATGAGGCGGAAAAAGAAAATCCTAATTAGAATAAGATATATTCCATCCTTGCATAAGTATATCAAATAGACTACACTGTCATCTATAACTAAAAATAACCAGTTTTAAGAAAGGACTTGAACAACTGTATAAACTAAATAGACCTAGTAGTTATCATGAAATAAACCAACTGGGAACAGAACATACATTTCCTCAAGTGTATATGAAACATTTTCTAAGACCAACCTTATCTAAATGACAAAACAAGCCTCAATAAATTTTTTGTGGTGCTGGGAATCAAACCCAGGGCCTTGCACACGCTAGAAAAGTGCTTTACCACTGAGCTCCATCCCCAGCACTAAGTCTCAATTGAAATCATATGAATTATGGATTGAAATAATATGAATTATGTTCTTCAAACATAATGGAATAAAATTAGAAATCAATAACAGAAGGGCATTTGGGAAATTAATAATTATATGGAAATTAAAGAGCACAGTTCTGAATAACCAAAAATAGGTCCAGGAAAAATTCAAAAGGGAAATTATAAAAACACTTTAAGAACAAAAATGAAAACATACTAAAACTTTTGTGTTTTAGTGAAAGCAGTGCTCAGAAATAAATTTATAAATTTGTTCTTAAACTTCAAAAAAAATTCAAGAGAAGGGAATATTCCCTAGGTCATTCTATGAAACCAGTAGTACCACAATACCAAAGTCAGACAAATACACCACAATAAATCTACAGACCTAGAACCCTTATGGATACAAAGGCAAAAATTCTCAACAAAATACAAGTAAACCAAATCCAGTAGTATATTAGGATTACACATCATGACCAAGAGGAAACAAGAACACAAGGGTGGCATAGCATAATAAAATCAGTTAAGGTAATGTTCCATACCGATAGAATTGAAAAAACACATGATCATCTCACTAGATACAGTAAAGGCATCTGATGAAAGTCAACACTGTTTCATGACAAAACACTCAATAAACTATATATAAAAGGGGATTCTCTCAACTTGATAAAGGGCATCTATAAAGAATTTATAAATGAATGCATAAGCTAAATGTTAAATACTGAAAGCTTTCCTCCTAGAAACAGTCACAAGACAAGAATGTCCATTCTCATCACTTGTATTCAACATTATAGTAAAAGTTCTAGCCAGGGCCATTAGTTAAGATTAAAAAAAAAAAAAAAAGCTATTATAACTAACTCCAACTGTTTCTAAAAACAAATGACAATCTTACCTATAGAAAACTGTAAAGAATCTCGGCTGGGGTTGTGGCTCAGTGGTAGAGCCTCGCCTAGCACGTATGAAGCACTGGGTTCGATCCTCAGCACCAAGTAAAAGTAAATAAGTAAAATAAAGGTATTGTGTCCATCTACAACTAAAAAATAAATAAATAAAAATTTAAAAATCCAGGGTCTCACACATGCGAGGCAAGCGCTCTACCACTGGGTTCAATCCTCAGCACCACATAAAAAAAAAAAAAAAAATAAACAAGTGAAATAAAGGTGTTGTGTCCAACTACAACTAAAAAATAAATATTTTTTTAAAAAGAAAACCCTAAAGAATCTACATAAAAATATGTTAAAATAATTAAGCTAATTAATAAGTGAGCTCAGCAAAGTTGCAAAATACAAATCAATTCATACAATATGCATTAATAAAACAGAAGTTAACACCTCTATTTTTAACTCTTTATGAAAATCTTGCTTCTAATTTTATTTACCTTTTACATGTGAACCTATTATAATCAAAGTAATCTTTAGTTTTGCTGCTTTAAAAAAAGTCCTGTTTTACAAATTAGAATAAAAAGTAATTTAAAAAGTCCTATTCTGTGAAAGAAAGGGCAAAAAATAAAATTAAAATCAATTGTATTCCTATACACTAGCAATGATCAATTCAGGAAGGAAAATAAGAACTTAATTCCATTTATAATAACAATTAAGAAAACTCATAGAAATAACTTTAACCAAAGAAGTGTA